CCTGTTTTCTGTGTATTGATCTACATAACATTTATGTGGGTGACATTTTTAAAAAAATTTTTTTAATGTTTATTTTTGAGACAGAGAGACCGAGCATGAGCAGGGGAGGGGCAGAGAGAGAGGGAGGCACAGAAGCTGAAGCAGGCTCCAGGCTCTGAGCTGTCAGCACAGAGCCCGACGCAGGGCTTGGACTCACAAACTGTGAGATCATGACCTGAGCCGAAGTCGGACGCTTAACTGACTGAGCCACCCAGGTGCCCCCTATGTGGGTGACATTTACTTCACCCCCTGAGATGATTGCAGATCTGGGTGATACTCTAGAGCAGTGCTATCTAATAGAGTAGCCACTAGCCACATGCAGCTATTCAGCATTTGAGTTATGACTGGTCTGAATTGAGATGTGCTTTTAAGTATAAAATGTCTATGAGGGATTTTGTAGTCTCTGTGGGAATAAGGATGTAAGTTATCTCATTAATAACTCATTAAAAATATTTATTACATGTTGAAACAACATTTGAGGTGTATTGGGCTAAATAAAAGATACTAAAATTAATTTCATCTCCTTTTACTTTTTAAAAACATGGTTAGTAGAAAATTTGAAATTACACATTTGGCTTACATTATATTTCTATGGGCAGTGCTGCTCTAGGGGCTCAAAGAAGGGGAGGTTTAGCAAGTGAAGTTGTCCAAATCCTGGACAGGCTGATCTGGGAAGAAATTGTGTGGATGTTGTGATGGCAGGGTTCTTTATGTGATCAGGAGGCAGCAAGGTGAGTCCTGTGTGACACCACTTTAAAAGGCATGCGGTTCTGCAGATGACCATTCATCTCTGGCTAGGAGGATTTATGGCTGACAAAAATGGCTTTTAAATCGGTCATCTGCCCACATGACATCACTGCCTTTCTGTTTCCAAGTACTTTGCAGAATTCACATTTGTTGTTTCTTTCTTGCTGTCATATTCTTGAGGGAAAAGAGGCCAGTTGAAGGAAGAGAAGAGGAGGAGGGAGGGTGGGAGGATTACTGTTGATTAGAACAGGGATGGGGGTGGGGGGTGGGGGGGATAGGACACTAGGAGACCTTAGGGAGAAGATCTCATTGGCTAACACAAAAGGTTCAAAAAGTCAGCTAGTCAAGTGATTTCTCTCTTTTTCTCAGTCTCTTTCTTTCTGGGGACTTTTGATTTTTGATGTTTATGATTGTTCCTGGGAAACCAGAAGCAGGTACCTTTGTTTTGCAGATTAGGAAATAGGGAAAAGAAACTGATGGGGGATTCCCAGACAGAAATAGGAGGTGTGGAAAAGGGAGGAGGAGCAGGATTTAAGGATCAAATTCTCTCTGTGTTGGTATGGAAGTCCCACTTTGGGGAAGTGCATTCTATCATCAGGGCTCTACACTGGGACTTTCCCATTTCAGTGACTTACTTGGCTGGGAGATAATGATTCTCTAAGGCTCCTGTTCATGTGTCTAAAGCTCAGGAGGTCCAGTCACTTAGCAGCATGGTGACTGCCTCAAGTAGTACAGTTTCTGGGACAAGGCTTTGGCACTGTCACAAGCCTCCCGGCTCTGTTTGGGTGCAATTAATGCTTTACTCCAAATGCATCCATCACCAGCAAACTAAAGTGAGAACACACCTGTTAAAAATGTTATTTTTGGGGCACCTGGGTGGCTCAGTCGATTAAGTGTCTGGCTCTTGGTTTTGGTTCAGGTCATGATCTCACGGTTCATGGGATCATGCCCTGAGTTGGGCTCTGTGATGATGGCGTGCGGAGCCTGCTTGGGATTCTCTCTCTCTCTCTTTCTCTCTCTCTCTCTCTCTGCCCTTCCCCTGCTTGTTCTCTCTCTCTCTCTCTCTCTCTCTCTCTCTCTCTCTCAAATAAATAAACTTAAAAAAAAAGTTCTTTTTGAGTCCTGCCTCTGTTCATAAACCTTCATTGGCTCACCATTGCCCACTGAATAAAAAACCTAACTCCTTAGCCTGCCTCTAGTACCTTCCACAGTCAGGACCCAGGTTATCTGTTTGGACTGATCTCTCCCCACCCTCTCTCATCACCCCTGGGCTCCAGCCAAACCATGTGCTTGCTAGATCCTCTGCCTGTCCCACACTCTTGCATCTACTTACCATGTTTACTACCTGGATGTCCTATCCACAGTTGTCACATAGCAACCTTTTCCTTCTCCATGAGAAGCCACCCCTTGCCTCCATAGCACTGTATAAGTCTTTTTGACCCTTGTAGACTATTATTTGTGCAGATATGTCCCTGCTAGATTCTGAACAACTAGGGACTAGGGGAGAGACAGCCTGTATTAGTCAGCCTGGACTTCCATAAAAAAATTGCCATGGACTGGGTATCTTCAACAATAGAATATTATTTTCTCACAATTATAGAGTCTGAAAGTCCAAGATAAGAGTGTCAGTACGGTTGGTTTCTGGTGAAGACTGGCTTATAGACAGACACTGTATGCTTACACGGCAGAGAGAGAGATAGAGTTTTGATATCTCTTCCTCTTCTTTTAAGGACACAAATCCTATTGGATTATGACTTCACCTAACCTTAATTACCTCCGAAAAGCGCTGTCTACGTTGGTGGGTTAGGACTGCAATATATGAATTTTAGGGGGACTCAGTTAAGTCCAGAGACTGCCTGATATTTAAATCCCTTCCAGCTTTAGCCCAGTATTCTATGCAGAGAGGGTGCTCAGTAAATGTATGGCATATTGAAAGAAATTTAATTCCATTGCCTCCAAGTAATTGTTTTTATAAGCTGTGCTGTTCAAGCCTGTGGGACTGCTGGGATCCCACAGCTCCTGGGAGGGCAAGAGGGAGTTAACAGGTTTTTGTGGGAATCAGACTGAAGGAATTGTGTCAGCTATAGCTATTAAGGATCAGTCTCATGAATATACTGTCTCTGGTGGGAATGTTGCAAGGCTGCTGTCCATTCATAAGGGAAGTTCCATATAGTTTTTGTGCTGAGAACAATAGTAATTCTCTGAGCATTTGGATTTGTTATATATAAAATTGTGTGATTGTGCACTCAGATATCACCTCACGCCAGTCAGAGTGGCCAAAATGAACAAATCAGGAGACTATAGATGCTGGAGAGGATGTGGAGAAACGGGAACCCTCTTGCACTGTTGGTGGGAATGCAAACTAGTGCAGCCACTCTGGAAAACAGTGTGGAGGTTCCTCAAAAAATTAAAAATAGACCTACCCTATGACCCAGCAATAGCACTGCTAGGAATTTATCCAAGGGATACAGAGTACTGATGCATAGGGGCACTTGTACCCCAATGTTTATAGCAGCACTCTCAACAATAGCCAAATTATGGAAAGAGCCTAAATGTCCATCAACTGATGAATGGATAAAGAAATTGTGGTTTATATACACAATGGAGTACTACGTAGCAATGAGAAAGAACAAAATATGACCCTTTGTAGCAACATGGATGGAACTGGAGAGTGTTATGCTAAGTGAAATAAGCCATACAGAGAAAGACAGATACCATATGGTTTCACTCTTATGTGGATCTTGAGAAACTTAACAGAAACCCATGGGGGAGGGGAAGGAAAAGAAAAAGAGGTTAGAGTGGAAGAGAGCCAAAGCATAAGAGACTCTTAAAAACTGGGAACAAACTGAGGGTTGATGGGGGGTGGGAGGGAGGGGAGGGTGGATGATGGGTACTGAGGAGGGCACCTTTTGGGATGAGCACTGGGTGTTGTATGGAAACCAATTTGACAATAAACTTCATATATTGAAAAAAAAAATTGTGTGATTATGTAACTGACCAGATGGTCTCTCTTTTGCATTGGTCAAATGGGAGGCCCACCTATAGTGACAGTTCAGTGGCACTCCTAGCCTCATTCATAGACCATCTTCATGTCTCCACTCACATATTTAATCATCTTTACCCTGCTTATCATTTATGCAATCATTATATTTTAGATACCTTTTAAGTTTTCAAAACTCCAGAAACACAGAAACACAGTAGGACTTCAGTGCATTTTAAAAATAAATAAAATTACTCATACTTTTCTTGAGAGGAATTGATAATTCAAATATCAATGTCCAGGTAGCATGATAAATTCACATATGAGCCTGGGAGGGGGTAAAAAAAATCTTTGTATTTCTACTTATCTATTAGTTATTGAGAATCCTTACATCAAACTTTTAAATGACTGCTAAAATTCCCATTATAGACGAGAAAGCTGAAGCTCCTGGAGATTAAGTAACATGTCCAAGTTCTGAGTTGGTGGATCTGGTTTTCAAATCTTGGTCCATCCCATGTCAAGATCAACATCTTTTCCATCTGTTCCCCTGCTTCCAGGATAGACACTAAATATCCAATAGTCTAGTCCTGGGGAGGGAATAAGCATAGCTAGAGGTGAGACAGAGTAATGGCCTTGGGGAGTTCTGTCCTATGATAAGGCAATTCGAGGCTCCCAGTTGGGAGACAAGCCATAGACAGGGGTTGAGCCTCTGGAGTGAGAGGTACTAGCAAGATCTCTTGTGTTACTGGAGGGCATTCGGGCCCCAGCTGGCCAGGCCTGGGTGTGGAGGCCAGCTTCCAGGACAGAGGAAGGCTTAAATGAGAACTGAGAACTGAATGAGAAACCCTGTTTTGGGGTACTAGTAGTTGAGAAGGCCTGGGCAGGAGAAGGGTGCTACAATGCTCCCAGAAGACTCTCCAGCACTTTGAGCCATTAAAGTAGTTCTTTGGGCCAATAAAGTAGTTCTAGATCCCACCAGCTTTGCCAGTAGGGCTCCTACTCTTCCTTCAGATCTGGGATTGCCTTAGGGACCACAGCTGGGTACAGCAGAGCAGGACACCTCAGTTCAGTAAGTATTAATTGAATGTCTGGTGTGTTCTGGGTGTTAGAGGAACACAGAACAATCATCCCAGGTCCTGACCTTAGGGACCTCGCTGTTCTGTGGGGGCAGATAGGTGTGAAGGGGGTCTGTTAAGGTCATGGTAGCACTCACATTCACACATCTCTCTTCCAGGGCCATGTTCTGCAATGATTTAAAGGAAAAGTATGAGAAGAGGATCATTATCAAAGGGGTCGATGCTGAGACCATGCACACTCTTCTGGACTACACATACACCAGCAAGGCGCTGATCACCAAGCAGAATGTGCAACGGGTCCTGGAAGCTGCTAACCTTTTCCAGGTGTGTGAAGAAATAGTCTCAGTGCTTTCCTCTGGAGCAGGGGAAAGCAGTGATTCCTCAGAGATCTGTCTGGACTGGCTCTCAGGCCTATACCTGGGACATACATACAACCATTCTCATACCCACACTTAGTTGGGCCTCTACTTACTTGAAAGTCAGAAGATGCTCCTTTGGAAGTTTCCTCAGAGGGGGTGAGATGTGGCATTGACTCCTTAATGCCATAAATCCAGGGCAGCTTGGTGCCTGGAATCTATATGTATTTCCTGACTGCAGTAACTACAATTTGCAGAAGCCTAATTGGAGCCAGGGGTTCCAGTCACCACTTCATATTCATAACTTCGAATCCTTACTGGGAAGGAAGGGAAGGCAGTTTCTTCTCCCTATTTTACAGGTAGGAAGAGCAAGGCACAGAGAAGGGGGTTATTTGCACCCTGGGCCTTCTGCATCCAGGGGCTACATGCTTGCCACTAGACCCTACAGTCTCTCTGGGAGCAAGTGTCTAGACTCGGGGGGAATGCCCGACCTTGACTGGTCGGCACTTTGCGGTGGGTATGAAAGAAGAGCACTTTTCATGAAGGGTATTGCAGAAGATAAAAGACAACCCTGGGGATTAATTAAGTTTATTCATTTATTTTGAGAAAGAGAGAGAGCGCGCGCACACACACACACACACACACACACACGTGGGAGAGGGGCAGAGAGAGAGGGAGAGAGAGAATCCCAAGCAGGCTTTGCACTGACAGTGCTGATGCAGGGCTCAAACTTACTAACCTCGAGATCATGACCTGAGCCAAAGTCAAGAGTCTGATGCTTAACCAACCAAGCCACCCAGGTGTCCCTAGGATTAAGTTTTATTGTTTCCTTTTGACTACATTTGTTTCAATCTGACTACAAGTATATTTAGCTTCATTGACTAATTAGATCCATAGATTCTGTCAGTTGCATCCACAGTTATCATTGGGGCCCCATCCCAAGTTACTATCTTTGCCTAGGTCTAAAAGTACACCTTAAACTTGGTTTTGCCGGGTGAAGACAGAGATTGTCTCACTGAGGATGTTGAGATTTATTGACAAACAGAGTCTAGGGACAAACCAGGTCATTCCCAGGGACTGAGACAAACATCAGATCTTGTGCATGGTTTGGGACTTGGGGAGGTGGTATCCTTCTGAATCCTCAGTAGGTCAGTGGTTGAGGGGAAACAGGTGGGGAATGAGGGGCCCAGAGTCAAGACCAGGGGCTATGGGATTTTTTTTTGTTGAGACTGGAGCCTAGGCAGGATCTGTGGAGTCCAGCAAGGAAGGGAGAGTAGAAAGAGGGAGGAGAGTCAACTATAAAACAGCACTGATGAGTTACGAATAATTGCCAATTTTATTGTCTCAGCTTTCTCAGGGTATTGTAAACATACAGAGCAAGTTACTTCCATCAGGACTGGTCATGCCTTCTGGTGATGTGTCCAAGTCAGTTACCACCCCCACATACAGCCCTCCCCCCTTTCGCTGTCCTTACCTGCTTACACCTTTAGCCTTACTAACCGGCAGGGAAATACTCCTCATTATGTGGAGTGAGGGACTCAGTAGCTATATCGTATTCCTTCCCTCCCCCACAACTGCTCCAACAATCTGACCTCAGCGAAATCCTTCCCAGGTCAGATAGGGCCTCTATCTAGTTCAGCTTTTACCTGGGGGCTAAAACAGAGCTTCATGTATTCTACAGTGGGTGTGTGGGTGTGGGTATATGTGCAAATCTTTATTTAGCCTCCTTGTTTTCAGTAAGATGTCCTCATGTGTCTTTCTCAGTTTCTGGTGTCCCTGAGTCCAGAACCTCTCTTGTGTGGTTTCTCCAGAGATAAATATTTTCCAGCAGGAACAAAAAATCTATCTTTTGTTCGGTTATAAGAGGTGGGGAGGAGTCCCAGGAGGCTTAAATTCTTCTTAAACCCACCCTTGTTATCAGCCCCATCTGCCCCGGGCTTGCTATTTCCCTGGGACTTTAATATTTCTGTTTTCTGGGGTTCTGAGGGACAAACTCCTTTGTAGGCACTTGGTCTGACCTCTCTTCTCTCAAAAAAAATCACTCTCCAGTCTTCACATTCTGTGGTTTGGGGTTACTGATATCTCCTGGTTTCAGTGAGGATGGAGTTTGTGTTTCTGTTTCTTGTTCTCCTTTTCAGTTTTGGGTGATTTTTATAAAAACTCTTTAGATAGTAAAGACTGTTATCTTTTGTAATAATGTTGCAAATATTTTCCATTGGTTATTTGACTCATGATTTTTAGTAATGACTTTTTTTACATATAAAATTTTAAAATTAGTGTTTAGTCAGATCTATTGATCATCTCCTTGATGTTTTTTGCCTTCGTTGTATGTTTTTAGAAAGACCTTCCCTATTGCTTAATTATATACTTACTCACTTCTAATTTCTATTAGTTTTGTTATGTCCACAGCTTTGATATTTAAATCTTTAATGTATCTGGAAATCATTCTGGCATAAAGTTTCTCCGTTGTCTTCATTGTCGTCGTCCTCCTCCTCTGCCTCCTTTCCCTCCTTCTCCTCCTTCTCATTTTCTCTCAAGTTGTGAGCTTCAACAGAGATTTTGGTTTTAATGAGAGGTGGAAGGAAGAGGAAGACAGAGACAGGATAGAGATAGAGCACGTTCTGTTTATTATTGATTCCCCTATCCTGGTAATCCCTCACCTCAAAATTTTCCAAATCTCATTCACTTTCTAGGCAAAAAATAGTAAGTTCTCTCTGAGGCTGTTTTACTAATTTTCCTAATGAGTATTAATTCTTATGAAAACAAGAGAAGAGTGCTCTAGGTGTCTGGTTAGAAAGTCTGTTGCTTCTGGATAACTTGCTTTGAAGACTCAGATGTAGAAAACTGGGGATATCTTCATTCCTGAAAACACCACAAAGGACAGAGATTTGTAGGTTGTTGAAATCACTTTGTGGTCTTAAAAAAAATATTCTTTTGAATGGATAAAACATACCCTTGTTCCAAATTCAGAAAAACAGAAGGGGAGACAGTGAAACATTTTGCTGTCTTCACTTTTAGTAGTATCTTGCTGTCCTTCGTATTCTTTTTTTAAATTTTATTTATTTATTTGTTTTGAGAGAGAGAGCACGCGTGCACGCTCTTGTGTTGGGGGGAGGGGCAGAGAAAGAAGGAGAAAGGGAATCCCAAGCAGGTTCTATGCTGTTAGTGCAGAGCATGACACGGGGCTCGATCTCAGAAACCATGAGATCATGACCTGAGCCAAAATCAACAGTCAGATGCTCAACCAACTGAGCCACCCAGGCGCCCCTGTCCTTCATATTCTATGCACACCCCATTGTATATGTGCATATATCATTCCCACTCTTTGCTTCCAGTTTTTAACACAAATATTGGTGCACTATACACTTTTTTTTTTTTTTTTGCATCTTGCTTTTTTTGGCTTCACAATATATTTCGGAGATTGTTATATATCAGTATATACAGAGCCTTTTTGATGGCTGCATAATGTTGTTGGGATCTCCTCAGAAGTGAAACATGTTGAGTTATCTGTAATAGTCTCTTATAAGGCAGAATGGTGGATTAGAAAGAACATGGGTATTGGACTCAGACAGAACCTGGGTTTAAATCCCAGTTCAGTCATTTTATTTGCTGTGTGCATGTGGACAAGTTACTTAGATTGTCTGAGTCTCACCTTTCTTATTTGTGAAATTAGGATGATTATAATACTTACCTTTCAGGGAGAGTTATTGTGAGAATTAAGTGAGATGCTATTTGTAAAATACCTAATACATAATAGATGCTGGGTGGAATTTTCTTCCCATCATTTGTGCGTTAATTTTTACTTTACTTTGGATAATTTGTGCCTTGAATAAACTGACTGACATTGAGCTGTGAGGACATTTTCCTATGCTATACCCCAAGTTTTGCTTTTTCCTGGATTAGGATTTTAAGAGACCATGATTTAAAGTTTTGTTTCATCATGTTCATGTAACACTTGGTTAGTAGAATGAATTGGACTGGTGCTATATTTAATTGACTCAGAATTGTAGATGGAGAAAAGTGTGCCAGAGTTGGCATTTTATCTTGTTATTTTAGAACGTGCACAGAAGCTGATACCACCTTTCTTGGATGGAAATCAATGGGAACCAGATGATCTTGGTGTTTTCTACCCCATCTGGTAGTAAAAGGTTTTAGCTGTTACACCGTCACTGTGCCTCAGCTGCCCCCTCCCTTTCTACTTCTCTTTTCAAGTTTCTTCCTGTTATCCGTTGATTCCTTCTATGCCAGAATTTCCTAGTCCAGAAAGAGATAATTTGATTGACCAAGCCAGTCACCGCTAATGCTGTTTGAAAAGACCTTTTCATGCAAAGCAACTTCATGAGTTGCTGGCCTCCTGAAGACTGATAACCCTGGGGTCAGCTACCATTACCACTGTCATTGGTCCAGTCAGCTGTGGCACAGGGTGGGACAGTTTCTTTTAGGAGGAAAGTTAGGGTGTGGCAGGTACTAAATGGACTGCCACGAGAGGAACTTTGCAGTCACTTAGCTGTGATTAATTAGCCAATTATGGGGAGAAATATATTTTCTCCAAGTAGTTTCTAGAAAGGTAAGAGTAAGAGAAGCACCTATGAGGAAAGGCCCAAGCGACCCTTCACAATGTGAGGCAGGGTTTTTGAGATGAATGTCATTCAGTAGGGGCTGCAGGGAACTTGCCTTATCTGGAACTTCAGGCTTCTGAGTTTTAGATAAGCAGGGCAGTGAGAAACTGTAGAAACTGTAGCTGTGGGACAATGGCTATAAGAACTTGGTAAGATTTTTCAGTTGTAGAGAACTGCCATGTTAGTTTGGAGAGCTTTGTCATATTTGTTACTTTCATTTTTATTATTAAAAACTCATGAAAGAATAAGGGTTTGTGAGCTTATCTGCAGGGTAGCAAAAGATGTGAGGTCAGGGAGACCATGCTTACCCTTCATTCAGTCTTGGGACAGAAGATGGCTAAGATAACAG